CATGTTTGTTGCTGCTCTTTTCACAATAGCTAAGAGATGGAAGCAACCTAAGTGTCCCTCAATTGATGAGTGGATAATGAAAATGCGGTTCATTTATATTATGGAGTTCTATTCAGCAGGAAAGAAAGATGAAATCATGAATGTGCCATGCACGTAAATGGACGGAACTAGAAACTATTATACTAAGTGAAGTAACACAGACTCAGAAAAACAAACAATGTATGTTCTCCCTCATATGTGGATCCTAGCCCCAAATCTTTATGTGAGTATGTATCCAGACATAACTACAAGAACCAGGATAATGAAAAGGAACTAGGGAGGTAAAGGAAAAGAAAGAACCTGAGAGAGAACAGTAGGAAACAGGTGTTATTACTTTTATTTTATGTGTATGAGTGTATTGCCTCTATGTGTGTGAGTGTATTGCCTGTATGTGTGTAAGTGTACCCATGCCCTGCAGTGCCTGCAGAGGTCAAAAGAGGGCATCAGATCCCCTGGAACTGGAGTTATGGATGGTTATTAGCTGCCATGTGAGTGCTGGGAATTGAATCCAGGTCCTCTGCCAAGAACAGCCAGTGCTCTTAATCACTGAGCCATCTCTCTAGCATCAATGATTAGCTCAAGTCTTAAAAGAAGCACACCTACACCGTATAAACCCTATAAGACATAAAATTAAATGAGGTTTTAAACTTTGAAAAAGATCTCCATTTCATTATTATAGTTTCATACAGAAAAATTCATTTTTAATACAACTGAGACTAAGATGCATATGCATTTCCTCAGAAAGTAACCAACTGTGACTAGTAATAATCAGATATTTAGAGATTAGAAATGCATGTGCAAATATCTTAATGTCAATTGCATTAAAAATGAATTTTTCTGTATGAAACTGTGTATTTTAATAATGAAATGGAGGTCTTTTTTAAAGGTTAAAACCTCATTTAATTTTATGTCTTATAGGGTTTATACAGAGTACAATATTGTATAACTGTATTAATTCAACTGTAAACCTAATAATTTGCAGCCAAGTTTGAAAGAGAAGCATCTTAGCTCTGGAAATTGTTATTGAATATGTCAATGCTGTTGTAATGAAATGCCTCTTCTAATCATTTGGTTATGAAATAAATTAATTAAAATAATAAAATAATAATTAGTAGATGTGAAAAGCATTACCATTGAAATCTACCTGACGACTTTATATCCATGCTCAGATGCCAAGGAGCTCAGAAGGTAACCAACTGTGACTAGTAATAATCAGATATATAGAGATTAGAAACACATGTGCAAACATCTTAACGTCAATTGCATTGAAAATGAATTTTTCTGTATGAAACTGTGTGTTTTAATAATGAAATTGAGATCTTTTTTTAAGGTTAAAACCTCATTTAGTTTTATGTCTTATAGGATTTATACTGAGTAAAATATTGTATAACTGTAACAATTCAACTATAAACCTAAAAAATTTACAGCCAATTTTGAAAAAGATCATCTTAGCTCAGAAAATTGTTATTGAATATGTCAATGCTGTTGTAATGAAATGCTTCTTCTAAGTATGTGGTTATTAAATAAATAACAAAATGAAAAAATAAGTTTAAATGTAAACAAAAAAAAAAAGAAGCACACGTGAATATTATTGCCTAGGTACAATTGAAAAAGTAAGCCTTGGCTATTCCTGCCCTGGATCCCCTCCCACTCTCCAGAGTTGTTTCCCACTTTTCCTCAATAAAGCTACCTTCACTGTGCTTTAACAAAACGGGAAAAAAGTGGGGGAAAGCCTCAAGTTATGAATGAAAGAGAACTTCCCTAAGCTGGTAAGAGATATACAAGGATACTGTATCTGAACTTAGCTAAACACCTGCTAGTATTAACCAAGAACAAAATTAATTAAAAGTATTTTTCAATTTTCTGCACCATTTCACTTCTCACTAATCATTATCATATGTAACTAATTAACTGAGAATCTTGCTACTTCATCTGTCTTCTGATTTCAACTATCTAATTTCAAGCCCCATAATCTTGAATAGCAAGAACATCTGCTTTAAAAAAAAAAAAAAAAAAAAAAAAAAAACTATATGAGCTGGGTGCAAAGGCACACACCTTTAACTCCAGCACTCAGAAGGCAGAGGCAGGAAGACCTCTTTGAATTTAAGGCCAGCCTGATCTATATAGTGAGTTCCAGGCCAGCAGGGCTACATAGTGAGACCCTGTCTCAAAATATAAAGTAATAAAATATTAATAAAATAAAATTCATCTTAAAAAATTAGTGGAGAATCTGCATTCCCCCTTAAAACCTGGAACAGGGAGCAAGGTGGCTCTCCAGTGTAATCTCAGCACTTGGTAGGTAGATACAGGAGGACTGTTTCAAGTACAAAGCCTGCCAGAGCATCAGAGTAAGTTCAAGGCCAGTTTGGAATATATAGCAAGAATTTTTTTTTTTAAAAAAAAGAGAAAGAGAAAGAGGGGAGGGAGGGAGGGAGGAAAAAGAAAGACTGAATGAATGGTGTGTGTGTGTGTGTGTGTGTTTGTGTGTGTGTGTGTGTGTGTTTCAGTGATGGATATTAAACCAAGAGTGAATGACATGTAAGCAAAATAGACCTAAATACAGTTCTAGAGACCTTAGATAAAATAAAAATATAAAAAAATAAAACTAGTAAATACTGGAAAGAAGGAATTTCAAATCAAAACTTGTATTTTTTAATATTTTATTTGTTATTTTTATTTTATGTGTATGCATGTATTGCCTGAATGTAGATAAGTGCACCTGTGTCGTGCAATGCCTGTGGAAGAGAGAAGAGACTGTCGGATCCCCTGGAACTAGAGTTACAGACAGTTGTTAGCTGCCATGTGGGTGCTGGGATCTGAACCCAGGTCTTCTGCAAGAACAGTCTTCTTAACTGCTGAGTTTTTATATGGCATAAATTATCAAACTAGAAAAAAAAATTAATTTCACAATCAGAAAGTTCAGTGAGACTGCCAGATATAGCTCTCACCCTAGAGTTATAAACTCTAAGAGGTCAACTGATTGGGATGGGAAAATACTACATTCTTATATTCAATTGCTTTTATTGTATTATTTCTTTTGTTGCTTTTGCTTTTGGAGACCGAACTGATATTCAGAGCATGTTGGCCTCAAACTCAATACTCCTGCCTCAACCTCCTGAGTGCTAAGATTAGAGTCATGAACATTACTAAGCCCATCTTAGTAATCCTGCCTACTTTTCCTAACCTCCATTCCATTTTTACCTTCACACATGTCTACTTCGCATTTCTCTCAATTACTAATATTAGGCCAAAAAAATCACAGTAGTTATCACCACAGAAATCAAGGATGTTTCCATATTTGAGTTGTAGATCTGGAAAATAGTGTTCACTACTATTTCAAAATTATGACACTTATTAGCCAATGCTATTATTTGATCCACTGAAAAAGCACACATCTATACATTTTATGGATTTTAATATTATCCTGATAGTTCCCATGAATCTCTCTATATTGCAAAGTGTCCATCAAAATGAATGCTTCAAAAATCATGATTAAGGAGAAAAGGGAA